TATGATTTTAATATTTTATGAAACAGTTATTGTATGTTGACTGATATATTGTGCTGACCTACTTTCTACTTTTCTGAACCGTCTGTCGAGTTACTAATATAATTTTAGCAAACACCACAAAATCCACTATGATGGCTGATATTTTGCTAAATTATAAAGGCAATCTATAGAATCGAATTATTTCAGTATTCAGTAGAAATGTCGCAATGCTGTTTTAGAATTAAACCAGAAGAAGAACGTGCGCTGAAACGCTGTCTAGATAAGTTGCACACTAGAGTTTGGAGCAGATCTACTGTCTCTTTCTCTCTCTGACGGTTTTGATGGAATTGTTCTTTCCCTTTTTTTCCACGTTCTGTCTGATATGCAAATCATTTTCCTTTATCTCGGCTGTCTGACCAATCAAACTTTATTCTTCTTCTCTCCATCTGTCCGCAGTTTGATGGTGACAACATGTACATGAGTGAGAACAACCAAGAGTTCCTCTCCCCGAGTCAGGTAAGATTCAAACCTGAAAGAAAGCCTGGGTTTACAGCGGTCTGTTCGTCCTTATTTCTGTATGTTTTCAGTGAAAAAACATGGGAATTACTTTTTGTTCAGTGGTATTTTGGATTTTCATATTGCTTAGAGTGTCTTGATCTGAAATGCATGATCTGGATGTGCTTATGAGACGAGGAACAATCGTCAGACTAGTCTAATGACGTGCTCCTCACGAATATTAATGGCTAAATCATGAATGTAATGTGAATACATTCAATATATCATTCAGTCACAAGATCTAAGAAGCGTCCTCTACTTTCGCTCTCTCGCTCCTTTTGTCTTGGGATCATCAGGATTTGTACATTAATCAGACATTATAATTCATAATTCAACATGTGCGCACTGTACATGTAGGAGAGGCTGGACATTCTGGCTGTTTGATCTTTTTTCATTTGTTGCTACATTGAAACTGATTCCATTTGAAAAGCTTCCATTGAAGATGAATGTCATGGAAACGGTCTGATCGCGGTCCATCACACACTCGTCTGGTCTCAGATCAGGCGCCTCGTTCTTCCCAGGAGTCTTCACATTCACGTCGACCGAGCTGTCCTCCTGCGACCTCTGACCTCGTCTGATTGTAGGGGAGAGATCGTCTCCGCTTGTCCCCTAACGAGCCCTCTGTGTGTTCAGGGTCACGGAGGATCGCCACAGTAACCGCCGCCAACAAAAGAGTCTGGATTGACCTCCAGCCGACTCGGGCGATCAATATCAGCCTCAACAAGAGAGAGAGAGAGCTGAGAATGAGAGAGACAGACAAATACAGCCAGAGAACTGATTACAAAGAGAAAACATCAATGCTGCATCCGTCTGTGTGGCGTTTCGGGGAATTTCCATCGCTTCCTCACAGCGAATTCCGATGCAAGAGTAGAAAGAGCGAAGGAACATTTCGGCCAAAATTTACATGTTTACTGTCAAACATGTATGCTGATATATTTTATAATCTTCCATTTTTTAAATGAAATTAATATTCTTCTTATTCATCAAGGACGCATTAAATTGATCATACGTGGCAGTAAAGACATTTATAATGTTACAGAAGATTCCTATTTCAAATAATTGCTGCACTTTTGAACTTTCTATTCATCTGTGAATCCTGTCAAATAAAATGCATCACAGTTTGCACACAAATATGAAGCAGCACAACTGTTTTCATCATTGATAATAATCAGAAATGTTTCTAATAATCAGCATATCAGAATGAATTCTGAAGATCATGTGACACTGAAGACTGGAGTAATGATGCTGAAAATACAGCTTTGATCACAGCAATAAATTACAGTTTAACAGATATTCACATAGAAAATAGCTATTTTAAATTGTAATAATATTTCACAATATTAGTCCAACAAGGCTCAATTCTCGCACCGCTCTTGTTTAGCCTGTATATGCTCCCACCAGTGTTGGGGAAAGTTACTTTTAAAAGTAATGCATTACAATATTGCGTTACATCACAAAAAAAGTAACTAATTACATTACATACTTTTTGTGACCTGGGCTGGGCTTGACTTGATATTTTGTTGTAAATTTAAAAGTAATGCGTTACTTTACCTAGTTACTTGGAAAAATGTATATATATATATATATATATGCATGCCAAAACTGTGCACAAGTTGTGTGATATATCAAGTTTTTCACAGAAATATAACAGCATATGGGTTTGAAATGACATGAGAGTAAATAACGAGTAATATCGATGTAAACTATGCCTTTAAACGTGATCTCATTCTGAAAACACAGCGTCTGATTAGCATGCTAAGCCGTCCTCCACCACTGTGTCAATTTACTCCTCCTTTATCAGCTGAAGTTCATCTCAATGTGATAGCGCAGCGTAAATCTTAGTCTTTGCATTTGCATTCTTGTCTGAAGAAAGTAGCTGGGAAACGTCTCTAATGGACTCGGCGCTTGAGTATGCAGAAGACGTCACGGTCAAGATTATAATCTCACAATTAGAGTAACAAGGTTTTATTGATCGCTTCCCGGAGCTTTGGTTGCCAAGTACGCCTGTGATTAGAGAAAGCGGGCATGTGAGAGGAACGACAGAGAAAACTCTTCCAGAGGAGATCTGAGACGTCAGAAGAGAGAGATTCTGCTGCTGAAGGGTGACGAGGGCTTCGTCAAGATGATCCAGATCCAGAACTGAGAACGTTTGCATGAACTCAACTGATTCATTTTCAGATTAAAACTAACTAGAGAACTGTAGAGGTTTACTAAAGGACTAACTATCTTTGAGTCTTTCGCCTGTTTTATCTGCCATGCAGGTCAGGGTTATTTCAGTAGCATTGATATGCTCTTATAGTTTTTTGTTAATATTTTGAATTAGATTTCATTTTTATATGTTGTGTTTTAATTTTAAGTTTAGTTAAAGTTTTAGTTTTTTTTTTAATTAATTTATATATATATATAGTTTTAGTTTTTTGCTTTAGCTCTTTTAAAATAACTCGTTTGAGTTATTTTAATACTTCAGTTTGAACTAAATGAAAATTATTTTAGTTGTATTTTTAGTAAACAATAAAAATCCTGCTGCATGTTCTGAATAATTATTACATATAACCAGACATCATAAGTTTTAAGACATATTTTACATATTTTTGTCCTAAAAATCAGACAAAACATAATATGCTATAGCAGATATTTGATTTTTTATTTATTTTATTATTATTTTATAATATTATTTATTATTATTTTCCTTTAACTTATAATGTTAATATGTTGTTAAGTATTTTTAAATCCATTTATTTTCCATTTATCCATTAAGTCTATGAGGAAGGACATTGCACTGTGCAAAGTTATAATCTATATAACCTCCGTCATGGTGAACCTGTTCACTTTCACATGAAATATGTGCAAGGATACCAGAAAGGGACATAAAGTACCAGTCCACTGTTTACATGCATAGTTCATCTGTGCAGAACAAAGCTGTATTGCTTAAGGAACGATTTAGACAACTTCAGTGCACAAATAACACACATTTTAATAATTGGGTAATGTAATAATTAATATAAGATCTTATTAAAAACTAGATTCACATTTCTGTTTTTAAAACTTCTGGGTCGTCTTTTCCCATAGACTTACATTGTGAGTGCATCACTGTACTGTACTGTAATTATTTCCAGTAGAAATCAACATTATTTCACATGTGCTGCTGTCAATACAGTATACTGGAATATGTAATATAGAATATAGTATTTTCAGTTAAATGAATGTACTAAAGTTTAGTTCGATAATGTGTTTTATTTAATATTTTGTATTTTTAGGGTATTTTATGGTGCTAAATTATATTTATGGAAAAGTTGTGATCCATTCATTACCACTTTTTGAGCATAGACCTGAAAATGAAATTTCCAACTTAAACTGTCGTAAATCTTGAATGCTTTGGAGTTTAGTTTCTTTTACAAGAAGACACTTGGCAGATTATTGACGGAGAGAAAAAAAGTTAAGAAAGTGAAACTAAAAAAAATAAAAGTTATAGAAGTTTATTATCATGAAAAATGCACAAAAAATACCATTTTTAAATTTTAAATGAAATGTATATGTTTTCCAAAACATGATTTACTCTAAAATCATGAGAAAACCAAAGCCATAAATCTAAACATGTTGTGTTCCAAATTTGAAGTTGATATCGTAAAAAAAAAGAGCTTTATGTAAGATTTAGTTTGGGTGCAGTACCAAACGTGTCCATGCTTCCCATTCTTTTCCAATGCAGACATTTTTGACCACAAGGAGTACAAGTTTGACTATTGTTTACATAGTAAGTGTCAAAACCTTTGCCAAGTTTCGTACCATTCCAAAAATTCTAAAAAAAACAAAACAAAATATTTCGGTCAAAAATGACCAAACAGCACCAGAGGGAGAATTCAATTCAAGTTTATTTGTACAGCGCTTTTCACGATACAAATCATTGCAAAGCAACTTTACAGCAAATTAGGTTTCTACAATATTTAGTGGTAGCTTATCAGTGGTGACTGTCAGTTAATGTACATATGGCAGAAATGTACAGAAAAATCAATTAAAGACGTAATCAAACAGACGATGAACACTATTAACAGCAATTATTATATGATGCAATCAAACTTATAGCAAAATGTGGTAGTTCTGTATGTTGTTTCAGGGTTGGCATCATCTGGGGTCCTCTGAGGGGTTGACATCATCTCTTCTCAGGTGTTCTGGATCCAGACTGAAGCTTGTGTAAATCCTAGTTACCACGGGATGTCAATCCCAGCAGAAACAGAGAAACAAATAGAGACAGAATTAGCGTAGCTGCTGTTCCAACCAAGCAAAATTGATTTGTTTAACCCAAACTAAAGAATAATAATGTGCATTTGATCAGATATAACTGCAGTACAAGATTATGAGATGCATTATTTGAATGCTTGGCCAAAGAGATGTGTCTTTAATCTAGATTTAAACAGAGAGAGCATTATTATTACGATGTGAAAGTTAGAATATATTTATGAATATATAGTGATAAGTGAGGTGTGTTTTCTGTGACTGGCTGTGACTGGGGATCTGGTGTCATTGGCTCGTTTTCACTGATTAAAGCGTCTCTGTGCTGACTGTAAACATGTCGCCGTATGTTGTGTGTGTGTGTGTGTGCGCTGCTCTCCCTGCTGGTCCAAATTACGGCAGAGTACATTACTATGATTTACAACTTCCTCCTGCTGTTTAGATTGAAAAGAAAGCGAGGGAGCGAGCGCCGGCCCGTCGCCCTGCCCCCTCGCCCCGCTACCACCACACATCTTTTGTCAAATGAAAACAAAGCGCGAGCCTGCCAAAATATTTCTATAGTCGATTGCTGAGCAAGCAGAGAGCCAGTTAGAAAACAAAAGCTGAGAGAGATCGCTGGACGGCCAGATTTGATGCCACAGCAAAACTCTCATTCTCTCACAAACCTGCCTGAATGTCTCTGATCACCGGGTGAATCTCATTAAACCCAAAACAACATGTGCAGCTCAGCTTTC